GCCTCCTCCGCAACTGAAAGTGAATTACTGTCTATTATTGGTGAAAATAATCCTGTATCCTGTGAGCCTTCCCTTCTCTTTTCACCCTCCTGAGATTAACTCAATTACAGAATCACTCAATTTTAGGATTCTAGTATCCGTCATTCAAATTGTTTTGTGGCTCCAAATATTCTGCAATATGAGACAAGAAAAATGTAGGACTGCTATTTGAATTATTATCAACATTCTCAGTGGAGCCGCAAAACACCCATATATGATGAAAAATGTGCGGGTGATTTGACACATCCTATGAACTTTGATTGGAAAAGCCAAATTGGATGCCCAACTTACAGGAAAAAAAATGTTGCCAAGCCTGTTTTCATCTCTACAACTTTGAGCCAACTGGCCTTTGGCAATGCAGTTACAAAAAAATTAGAAACTCAGATCCTTCAACTGTGGTATGTGACACTGTAACATACTAATTGGACTGGACAGTGTGGGGTCTTTATAGGCAAGGCAATAGCTGCGGCTGACGGCATGGTACACGCAGAAAGCTGGGGTGGGCCAAAGTAAAAAAAGTAAATTATGTTCAGGAATTTTGGTAGGCTGAGTGGATTGTACTTTGCTTTTGTCAGAGGAAGAAGAATCAAGCTTTTGTAAGCGGCAGATAAAAGGTTTGGGAAAACTAGAGGGGGTTTGGTTTCAGGGGCTCAAGTGGGCATTGGAGGAGGATCAGGCAGACAAGGGTGACTTTGGAGGGCACGGCGGGGGCAAACCAGGACAGATGATTTGCCAGGGGGTCTGGAATTTGCGCAGAGGGGGGGCAGGGGGCCTGAGGAATGAGGCAGACAAATTGGGGTTGTGCTGCAGGGAGTGGAAATTGGCAGGGATTTAGGGGTGCGGGAAGTTGGGAGGAGCTTCAGGGGAGGAGGAAGTTGTGGGTGTGTGGGTGTGGAGTCTTGTATTTTATCCTATCACCAATTCATAAATCAAAACAGGGAGAAAAGGGAGCAGGAGTTTCTCAAGCAACAAGCAAACCTTCATAACATTCAAGGCATAATATTCAGAATCTCTTTCTGGGTTTCAGTAGCAAAGAGAGGTGAAAGGGAGTGTTTATCATCAGATTGGGAGAAGTTCAGCTTACTAGTGTTTCCAGTCATCCACAAAGAAACCATAGATTTTCTGAATCCACGGAGAAGAACTCTCTGTACACCTACAGACAGTTTTTCTTTCCACAACAGTTCAGCCAGCCACATAGCCTTTTGGTTAGGCTGAGTGCTTTTTTTGATTAGGATGAATCAGAATATGAAAGAAACAGTGGGCCTGCTACACTAAAATTAGCTTTGGTGCAGTTTAAAACCACTAACAGCTCACAAATCATTTTGTAGCCATTAGCGGTTTTTTTGCTAACACTAATAGAACAAGGCCAAAAAATGGCCTTTTTACACCACTCAAAACTGCCTTCCGGCGGAAAATAGCCTCTAAAAGCGCTGTAGCATAGTGTAATGCATGGTTCATGACCTGTGGCAGCCTTTTAGAGCAACTAATGCTGCAGATTTAGTATAAAAAGAAACACTAAAATATGATTTTTTGGCCCTGTAGGGTAGCAGCAACCCACCACCAGATAATGAGCTCTAGTTCATCCAAAATAAATTATATTTGGGAGATAAAGATTTTTGAAATCTTGGTTACTACTCAAAACCACCTAGTAGTACTATCCTTCCCAATTTCAATTCAAAACCTTGTTGTGTTTTCTTTCTCAGACCACACTCACTTGGATAATGTGGCTTCTGTCCATGCCACACACCAAGAACAAAATTCAAGACTGAATTCAAGTGAATGAAAAACTGAAAGATAAAGGCTTCTTCTCTCACATACAACATGGCAATACATTTAAGAAAACCACCTGGAAATATAGGACACATATTCTCAAGCTTGGTGTGTTTATGTTTTTCAATTATTTCAATCCTTTCAGAAACCAGACCAGTGGCAAAATGTAATCAGCTGGTTTGCTTGAAATTGCCTGCCTGAATATCCCCCCAAACATTTAATACAAACTCTCCCACATGTGCATTGCCAGAATCACTGGACCATACTAATCTGAGCCCCAGAAATTCAACCACCTTCTGAGCCCCCTAAAATAAAAAATGATTGCATTCAACACTGGTGTCATTATCCTGACTTTTCAATGTTGAGTTTTTGGCTTTCTGAGTTTGGAGTAAAGGATGGAAGGGATGAAGATGTTTCAGAAGGGGTAAGAGAGAATCAAAAGAGGATCACTGTATTTGCTCAAGATTCTGCAGAAAAAGATGGTAGAGAACCAATGTTGAAATTTCTTATATCTGGCCTAAATATGTGTTCTAGCTACAAGCAGGTCAAAATGTAGTTCGAAAAAATAATGTAAAAACAACTGAGAGATGAATTGAGTTCAGACCAGACAGACGAGACATGCAAGAGAAATAATAATGCTAGGACTAGATACGCTGAATCAGAAAAGCAAAGACATCAAAGACTGTTGTGATCCTGTAACCCCCTCTGAGACTTGCCAGGGGTTTCCCAACTGGGGGATTATCTCCAGCCTCCGCACCTTTGTACATCCC